GAAAAATCAGATATCTACGTCGTCGAAATGAATCGCCCATCACGTCGAAGAGACACCAGAAAAGAAAAGAAGCGCTTGCGTAGTACGTATATTATATACGAATAAAACACATCGGAGAAAGATAATAATAAATAATAAATTATTCGCGCGCGCAAAACGCAAATATCGTTATTGCTCTCCTCGGAGAATGAATGAATAAATAAATAAAAAAAAAAAAGGAGAAACTCAATTTACATTCATTTATGCGCGTTATACGCGACAGCGCGTATTTTAGGGATTATTTGTATTCGAGTACTCGGGGAAATACTTCATACTCAGGACTCTCACTCGACTTGTTATACGAATCCATTTCCGACAGCAAAACGCATACGATGCGCGAGACTGAAACGAAAATGTTTGCCGAATATTCGTCTATTCTTTAAATAAGATCTCTAGCTAGCACTAATATGAACAGCTTTTGCACAGAAGAAACCAAGCGCCTCTCCGTGTAGTAAATACGAAACACGCTCCTAAAAGCTTCTTCCATTAAAATTGTTTCCGCAATCTTCATTTTATTACTTCATCTCAATTACTTCACGGTAAAACGTTTTCAAAAGGATAATTTCTATAATTTTCGTAAAAGCATCTCTATCTATTTGGCGCAGCCAAGACAAGGATTAATGTATTGACGCAGCGACCACTGGGCCTGAAGTTCGACTTCAATTCGAATAATACCTTGTCGCAACTTAAATGATACATTAATACATAAAAATACATTTGCGTTTATACAAAAATCATTTATTTGCTATCTAATAAGTCGTCGTGATTTATATAAATGTCTCCCGAGGGAAATTTCCGGCGATAACCGGGATTAAAAAACAAAACTGGCGCTTTATTTCTTTCATATAAAAGCCGTGTATTGATCACGGTAAATCATGAATACGGTAAATTAATTAACTCTAAATGATAACGTAACTGTTTTCTTTCGTGAAGCATCAGCGTGTGTGTACCAAGAAGAGTTTTTTGTGGGGCGGGGGGATGGCGGGCAGGGTGTGTATGCATGCGTGGTGTGGCAGGCACGGGATGGCGATGGTGGTCGTTTCATCTATTCGCACACACAATCGATTCGGTAATCAAGCGGTGCGAGGTTTTCAGCGGTCAGAGGTTGATCGTCACAGGGTTTAGCCCCGATCGGCCCCGCCATCATCAGTCAAGTCTCAACAGTCACAAATATGTCGACTCCCCTGCAAGCAGACCTATCGTCAGTCGTGGAGAAAAGCGCGATGTCGGGACGATATTGCAAATTTTCTGGGTCAACCAACAGCTATTGAGTATTTAGGAAGAGGGACTGTGCGAACTCTAATGCTGTTTATGAAGAAGCGAGGACAAGCGAGAAAAAAAAAAAGAGAGAGAAAGGACAAAAGATCTTTTTACACGCACATTTACGTTCGAGGATGTAAAAAGATATGAAGCTGACATTATTCTTCCGTTCCCCAGCTCTCAACGCATTTTTCCAAATTCCTCTCACTTTTTTGCGTATTTAAGGTATTATTTATATCGCAATGCTGTTCTGTTGGATGAGAATATCGTTTCAAATAGCATTTAACGTGTGAAAATGGTGGAAAATCAGAACTTATCGAATAAAAAAAAAAAAGTAAAAATGCGTCGAGTTTGAGAAAAATTACGCAAAAAAAAAGATAGATTTTATTATGCTGCATTTTATTTGCATAAAATATGAATTTCCCGAAACTTTTTTGCTCTTGAACTTACCCTGGCGAAACGCAACGAACCTGATTGCGAAAAGAAAATAGATCAAGATCATACATTGCGCTTACATTACTCACTCTTAGATTCATAAATACGAGAGACACGCTCTAAAAGTGGATTATACAATTATTTTATTTCGCAATAATGATAAGAGATTTTTATCATATGCCTTTATTACATTCATTGCAGAGTTCGATCCGACAACTAATAGTTATTAGTGTCAATGCTTGCGATCGCAATGGGGTTGTTAAGGCAGGAATATTAATACAAGTTATATCGAACATGTTTTCTCGGACAAAGGACAGGCTTATATAGACGCAGACAGACATATCCGTAAACATGATAAAATATAACTCTAGAGTTTGTGCGCGCTTTAATCTCTTTATAAATTCTGGAAATGATCAACTGGTATAAATTTGCAGTTTTCGTTTACAAATATTCTCTCATAATTGTATTGTACAATATCTACGTGTTGGAGAAAGTAAAAATCGAAGGAAAAGATGCGGCTCGTTCGAAAGAACACGAACAGGGATATTCTTACACAAACTGCATCGTGTAACATTTATTTGTCAGTAACTAACGTATGTATATATTCACAATTTTATGACAAAATTTTACTCTCGTCGACACCGACTGGTGCGATATAAAAAATCGGCGAAGTAAATGTACCTTATTATCGGATTGCTCCGCGCCCTTTAAATTGATCTCTATTTAATCCATATTTTTGTTTCGTTCTAAATGATAAGTGACGGGTAATTCACGCGTAATCGTTTTAATTAATATTCGTATATAATATAATATGAGATCCTATATATTTATACGCATCGAGAGGTACGGCATACATACCTGCATCCAATTTAACAATAAAGAGAAAGTACAAAAATATGTTTATCGCGTAGATGTAAAATCGATCGAGTGTCGAGTAAACGCGTTCGTGTAACAAAATGTACGAGAAAGAGTTTCGTTCGTCGCGTTTGTGAATTCTTATACGAGGCGATCCAGAAAAATTGGAGATTGGGAAAAGGAATGTATTCTCTGAAGAGAGGGCGACTCTTTCCATTCAAACGTGTATGAACAAAAGATTATGTCTCACAAAAAATCAATGATATAAATAATATTAACATAATATTAAAAAAAAAAAAAATCAATGATGTAACATTAATATCTCCTATGTAATTTTTTTAATTACATGCCACGATATATAAATAGACAAATTTAATGAAAAAGTACATAGACAGACAAGATTTTATATTTTTTTTTAGTTAGCAAAATACGAGATGTTATTTCTTTATGAAGTTCTGTTTATAAAATCCGCTTATCTGTGCAAGTAGCAATTACATAATATAAGAGAATTAGACTGTAGACAACTATAATCGAATTCTCTTATTTAAAAAAAAATAAGAGGGCTAAAAAATACATCTCTATTATGTCACCCTTTTTCTGGATCGCCCAAGCGTCTTTTAATGTAGGATTATTGTCGTGGATCGACAATAATGATAACTTTATGGTAATCTCCATAAAGCTCTACGCGCAACAGTAGGAATAACAAAAACCGATCATTAATACGCGGCGGCGTACAAAAATTCAAGTACATGCTGTTTTAGGTAAAGTCGGCCTTAAATCGTCCGCCGGTGTTAAAAATAAGCTTCTCGCGCCGCTTTTATCGCGACTCGTAGTTGACGTGTATACTGATCAGCGGGAGGGGAAACTTCGGTTCTGGGATTTTCTCTCACTTTTTTTTTTGCGAGATACCGAGATTACCGAGTTCGCTCTTTAGACTCACTTAAACGCAACAATCACTGGTACGCAGATATATATAGCAAGGTAATCGGAACGCCCATTTCTCATCTTTTTTTCTCACACGCACTTTTGTACAACGAATTTGTTTTGTCATGTCGAAAGAAACGGCTTCGTTGATTCTCTCCTCGTCGGCTTCGCTATCGACAGCACAAACGGGAATTGTTCCAATTCTCAATTATTTCTTCCTCGTGTTTCGCACGAAAGTGAATCCTCCCCAAATCCAAATGGGTCTAATTTTTCGATTAATAAATGATACATCAATCGATGTGGGTCCTCTACAAATTATACATCTAGGTGCTTCCAATTATATTACATTATATTCGAGAACGCGCCGAAAGAATATCGAGGATAAAGTCTGAATAGTTTCGAGAAGGCAAGAAAATTCTTTAAACATTCCATCGTCTGAATTATACTAGAAACATAAATATTTTCTTAAATAGGATTATAAGCAATTTTTAAGGCAATTTTTAATAACAAAAATAGTATCGTATTACGAAAAGTTTTAATTTTCATTTCAAAGAAACGTTCAAGCTGAAACCCTTTGTCCTGGATATTTCTTCATATCCTCAGATCCAAGTACGTGTGTATCACGTTTCTGATGGACCACTTTGTTAAAATTATAACTCGGTTAAATCGCAATTTTGATTTACAGCTTTGTTTTACGCTACGTGTAGGAACATTGACGTTATTATTTTACGGAAGCTTTAAGGGAAACCCCTAAAACCTTCTAAATTAACTAGCGAAAGATCCAGGTCAGTGGGAGCTTGCTGATAATTATCAGACATATGTGGCTGCATGATTATTAACACATTTAAAATCCAGTAATATTTTTCGTACACAAATATCAATTAATCGTATTAATTGATATACTTATCACTTGACATTGAAAGTAAATTGACCAATATCATAGTTGCTTAAATATCAACAAAAAAAAAACAAATGTAGAAAATATAGCATCTCCAAGCTGCATAACACTGGTGTCCCAGTTTTTAAGTTTTATCGCTTGATCATCATATTTGAAGTTGCAAAAATAATTTTGGAAAATGTTCGATCAATCATTGTAACTAGATTATCAAGAATGAAAGTTAGATTATCTCCGCCTTCTCTTTTCTATCACTTTAATTATTTGTAAAAGAAGAGTATAAAGTGTCTTATACGACAAAAAAAAAAACACTTCCACTCATTTGCCGTTTAAGCAACATCTTTCCTAACGATAGTCGTAACGAAATTTGTCTGTACATTTTATTAATCGAAAAAGTCAACCATTGCCGAGCGTTTGCCGATTGCGTTCGCCCGCGAACGATGTGTTTCTCTCGGAGATTATGCAACAACGACTCGCGGCTTCCAAATGTGTACCAGGAAGCTGGACAGATGTGTATGTGTATACATATATATATGTATGTATATATATATAAATGAGAGATGCCCAGATATACCTCATACACACGCGTGCACCCACATACACGCACACACACACGCACGCACGCACGCACGCACGCACACACACACACACACACACACACACAAAATTCTCAGAAGAAGTTTATTAAAGTCAGCATTCATAAAGAGGTGCAGTTTTTTTTCTGAGACAGGCAGATGGTTTCGCAGTGTGTGGTTTCATAGTGTTAGAACATAATCCTAACTATACGCGCGCGTTACTAGAATGCTCTATCGATGCAACACAAGACAATGCAACGGACCAGGGATAACGGATCGCACCGGAAAGAAGTTCAGGATGTCGAGTCGGCATAAGCTCTCTCTGTATGAACATATCTCATTATACACGCAAGGATGTCCACAAAGAATCCACAATGGGAAATCCTTGAATGTATCTACTATACTTATTAAGCACTTTGTATGCTGAAATAGTGCTGAATATTAAGTGGAAAGAATATTTAAAGGGCAATATATATTTTTTTTCTTTTTGTACACTCTTGCGCACGGTGAACCGTGCTGAAAATTTACGTCGAAAAGATATCGCATACGAGATGAAGAATTTGAGAATCGAACACCTTTCGCCTTTCTATACAACAACAGAAAAGTATCAAATAATGAGCCTTTCTACAAAATCATTTTGTGAAATAATAGAATTAGATGCAGGATGTCTCAAAAATACTGATATGATCAGTTATATATCTCTCAGTTACAAGTTTCTTGATGAATTAAATGTCTTATTCAATATGAACTTTAAAAAAAATATTATTACTTTTAACATAAAAAAAAATTGCGACAAATTGATCTTCAAGAGGAAAATCTATGCAAAATAACGTATGAATAAATTGATTTCCCAGTTAATTTTAAAGGACCTTCACTTTACTTACTCTTAAAAATTAGAAAAGCCGTGCGAAAAATGCGACAAAATTCGATAAATTTTGTTGTATAAAAATCGGATCTAAATTCTCCGGAGCACAAGGACAGAATCTGGAGAGAATCATCCTGCTTACAATTAGATGTAAATAAAAATCAAAGAAGATTTTCGATCTCTCAAACGCGCATTACCAGTCAATATTGAGCTCTATCAGCACAACAAATCCCCTGCGAATCTTGCTCGATTACAAGCGTACGAACCACGAGAGATTCGCAAGGTTACATACGATGAGAATCGGTTCTTTCAGCGAAGAAATCACGATGGCGGTTGCATTCCATACAATATTCTCTCTAGACGTTATTATTATTG